AACAGACCTATTAGAATGATGTATACATATACTTATATATATACATATATACACATAAAATAGTTCTACTATTTTCATACAGTTGCACTAAAAGTCAAAAATGTAAATATTTGAATTCCATTGAATTAGAAAGACAATAAGAACCAAGTAGCATCTACAAACAAATAATGCTAGAGCTTCTCTCAGAATGAACTTTTGACTTTTAATCAACTGGAAGGTCATTGTAGTTCATCACATTAATTGTGGACAAATGAGTGTCCAAATAATTTTTGTCTTCATTTTGAACAATATAGTATCTAATGATAATTTCATTATTCTTTTTGCGAAATGCTAGATGTGATGTTAAATGTCTTTAATGCAAATATAGACGTTTTTAGTTTTTGAGTCACTGTATTCTCGTAAGTTAATCAAGATGCTATCATACATTATTTGATAACATTACCTTAGCTCATGTCCTTTTATAATGTTAATTATTGAGATAGAGAGCCAGATCTTTATTTCACACCTCTAGAGACTTGAGCAGAAAACCCATGCTTTCATCTTTGTCTATGCAAAACATGGTCTTATGAAAGGTATATATTGTTAAATTAATTTGCTCAACAATGGTAGTAGTGAGGTAAACAATTTTATTGAAATCAAAATTCCAGAAGTTTCTTTAACAGCATTTGAAAATAAACTGTAAGCATTCACACTGTAAATCATCTTAAAGGCTAAATAAAACAATAAGTAGACAAACAGATTATTAACTGTCAAACAAAAAATTAAAGGCCACATTAGTCCATCCTAGATCAGAACAACACACAGTTGTAATTTGCCCCAAATTTGGCATATTAAAAATGAGGCTTCAATAATATGAGGCACAGTTCACACTGTAAATCAACAAGAACAATTGAACTTAAAACTGACATTTTTGTTAATTTCAAAGCTGATTATATTTAACAGTGCCTGCTCTCATTTCATGTGCTCTTTGACAGTCTAATATCATTTATTTAGAAGCTGTTTATTTAAGCCTACTGTACTGTGGTTAATGTATATTGTGCATGTAAAGCAGAGCGAGGTATTCAACAGTCAGACGTCATCTTCTCAGTCAGAGCTGATTGGCAAGTGCTGGGTGGGTCGAACACCCCAGGGTCACTAATGCCCACCTGAAGGTCAAAGAAGCGAGTGGACGTGGTCACGCTACTGTTTTTGGTGTATGTCTCCTGTACGGGATAGCAGTCCTTCAGAGTATACACACCAACCCAAGCTTCATCTGTGAAAGACAGAAAAAAATTGCTATGGTATAAACATACTTATAATAAACATACTTTTGCGAGCTGGTTTCCGATCAGACCATTCTTGGACCTCGATCATGTCTCCAGGTCCTCCAATGAAGTACTGGTCCTCGTATGTGGAGTTCAGGGGAATATCATAAGGATCCCAGGCCTCCGTCAGAGCGATCTTCGCACACTGCTTAGTAATTTCCTCAATTTGGAAAAGCACTCCACTCTTGAACAAGTAGATGTACTCAAAGAACCTCAAAGACAATTGCACAATGCAAATACTTTTAATACAAGCAAATTTTAGCTTTATTTAAAAAAATGTTTAAATCCTCATGAGAACCAGAAATAAAAAGCTTTGTGAATTTAATATTTTTTCATGTCACTACATTGTTTAGAGCATAAGAAAAAAATTGTAAAATAACATTTTTGAAAAATTATATTTTATTCATAAGTTATGCTATGTCCTCTGTAGAGGACACCAGGACTCAGTTTTTCTAAAAATAAAATGACAAGAGTAGACATGAAAAGGCAAAAACAATGGGAATTTTTTTTTAAATCACCAATCAATTTTTAGGTTTCAGGATTTTTTTATAATTAACTTTGTTTGTTCTTAACTATGTTATAAAAAATATATAACAAAATGATTTGATATACCATTTTGCTTTATGCAATATGTGTGTAAAAATTCCATAAACTGGTTTTCCCACTAAGCACAATGTTATCTATACACTGTATCTAATTTGCATATTAAAGTGCTGTTGGGACAGCATGTTGAAAAAAGAAGTGTAATAATGGGAGTATAGTAATTGGCCAGATTTTCATAATAATATCTAATATTTCATAAGAATATTGATACATAATTTGTTTTCCTATTAAATTATTTTGTCTCCCAAAATGTTTAATAAACATGCTTTCAGTCCTGGTGTCCTCTACAGTGGACATGTATATAATAATATCTAGATGTTGATTTATGACAAACAATTAGAAAATTCATCAGATTTAAATTATAATTACAAAATAGTATCATATTTCCATAAGGATGTACAATTTTATAACTAAATTAATGTCAGCCATTTTTAAAAACCAAGGAGAGGGAGTGGTCACGGTGAAACATCCAATCATTTGGTATCTCTGGAAAGCCCTGAATGTGCTCTGTACAGGACATCCACACAAAACTGTGTCATGTAACGTCACAGAGAAATTCACTAAAATATAATGTCCACTACAGAGGCAAAAATTCCATAGCTGGGTCTCAGGAGGATATTGATGCAGCTGTGTGTGGTAATTCTAATTTTGACAATAACACAATGGTAAACAACAGTTCAAGCAGTCATTATATTTTGCACGGATCAAAATAAACTTAAATTTACTACTACTACTAATAATAATAAATAATAATAATAAATAATTAGCTACTTACTTGAGAAATAATTACTGACTTTTCGGAATCAAATCTGAATGATTTTATGCTTAAAAACAAGACAAAATATCTGCGGGGTATGAAAAATGTATTTGTTGCCTTATATATATATATATATATATATATATATATATATATATATATTACCTAGACATTTTTAACCTAAATTATTACCTAAATTTGGTGGTGTTGTTGAATGACTAATATTACAATTATAAATAATTCTTGTTGTAATGATTATGATGATAATAGTTAATTTTGATATATTTTTCAGAAAATAAGACTTTCTATATTGTCGTTTTTCTTCTCAACTACATTTGTATCGATTTAAGAATGCTTTAGATAGAAAACAAGCCAAAAACATTGCTGAAGTGATAAGAACGCATATTAAAATCTATTTCATAGCATTTGATGAATTCGTACTTCTTACATGGTGTGTGTCCTGTCTTCTGCTCCAGGACCCTAATTCGCGGATTCTGCGCATCATAGGAGACCGCTGCCCGTGTGTTTCGTCCCCGTGCAGTGATCATACTCAACGGTGCGAATAATAAATAATAATAATAAATAATTAGCTACTTACTTGAGAAATAATTACTGACTTTTCGGAATCAAATCTGAATGATTTTATGCTTAAAAACAAGACAAAATATCTGCGGGGTATGAAAAATGTATTTGTTGCCTCTTTTAATAAAGTTTATATTTTTTCTTATCCCACTGGCAGTTTTTTTCAAGTCAATTAATCTTGAGAAAACGAGAGTTTATATACCTTACATCATCTTTCTTGTAAAGTATATATATATA